TAGTAACATTGGTGTTAAGTGAATCTGGCTTCCCCGTTGATTTTCCTTGTTGTCAGAAGATCACAAAAGGTGATCCCATCACTTGGGACACAGCAACCATCATAAATATGAACCAGTTGCCAAGCATCTGAATTTTGATCATGTGACCATGGGAATGCTGCAACGGTTGTAAGTGTGAAAAATAGTCATAAGTCACTTTTTTCAGTGCTACTGTAACTTTGAATGGTCACTAAATGAACTATTGTAAGTTGAGGACTATCTATACTACCTTTGACAAAACACCCTTTAAGAGTTTTTTCCCTCTAAAACTGGAAAATGAATTAGGCATTTTCTTCTGAGACCAGCGTTGTATCCAACAAATGAGGACATAAAAACTGGAAGGGACTCAGCAGCCAATAAACCCAACAACATTTTCTACGCTTTATTGCTTATATAAGAAGTAATGAAAAAAGACTAGGTGGCTCGGTGGCTAAGACACTGAACTTGTCAATCAGAAAGGTCGTCAGTTCAGTGGTTCGCATCCCTAGTACATGTCTCCTACGTGAGCAGGGGGCTGGACTAGATGACCTCCAAGTCTTTTCCAACTCTCTTACTGTTAAAGAGGAAGAGGAGAAATTTAGCCCCTGCATTTGAATAGTATGCTGCTCCCGGGAAGACTGAGATAAAAACAGTGGAAGCCTATTCTCTTAGCTGGGGATGTCAACCTGTACAATGTTTTGATCAGGGGTGAAATTCAGCCGGTTCTATCCAGTTCGGGCGAACCGGTAGCGGCGGCTTCAGGAGGCTCCACCCACCCGTGCGGATGACATGACGTCACATTTTTGCAACATTTTAAGCCCCTGCGCATGCGCAGAAGTCTTTGCACATGTGCAGACAATGGTGCACACGAGCAGAGCGAGAGTGCGCATGGTGTGCACACATTTGCAAAATGGTAGGGAAGGCAAGTGAATTTTACCCCTGGTTTTGATGGTGCAGCCACAGCTACCCATCTTTACACACTCAAATACTACAGATGCTCTGGCACTTAACTTCCTTGATTAGGTTCCAAAAGCTGATGCTCTTTATTCTACAGTTAGTTCTCAACTTATGACCTCTTTGGGTGCCAGAATTTCCATTGCTAAGCAAGGTGGTTGAATTGTCCCTAATTTTATGACTTTCCCGCCACAGTTTTTAAGTGAATCATTGAAGTTAAATGAATCATGAGATTATTATACAAATCCCCCATTGATGTTGCTTGTCAGAAGCCAACTGGGAAGGTCAAAAATGGCAATTACAAATCCTTGGGACAGAGCAGCCATGATAAGTACATGCCTGGTTGCCAATTGTTCAAATTTTGATCAAGTGACCATGAGCAGTGCTGTTGTAATTTCAGTCACTAAATTAATGATTTATCATTAATTAATGATTAATGAGGACTACCTTTATTTATATGTGAGGAAGGATAGTGCATCTTTTTTTTCCTCCAAAGAAATTAAAATAGCAAGGCCATATTTTTCACTTCTATCTTCAACCACTTCCATTAGACTAGACTAGACTAGACTAGACTAGACTAGACTAGAACAGAACAGAACAGAACAGAACAGAACAGAACAGAACAGAATAGAATTCTTTATTGGCCAAGTGTGATTGGACACACAAGGAATTTGTCTTTGATGCATAAGCTCTCAGTGTACATATAAAGAAAACATACATTCATCAAGAATCATAAGGTACAACACTTAATGATGGTCATAGAATATAAATAAGCAATCAAATCATACTAGGGAATAATCAATATAAATCGCAAAGATACAAGCAACATTTATTATTTATTTAGTGTATGGTTGGTCACACACAGTATTAAAACACTTCATTTTTACAGGTTAAAAACAAAACAATAAAAAAGCAGTAAGAAAACCTAAAAGGAAAACAGAAATAACATTTCAAAGTTTAATGTCGAGTTTGGAGATCCAGTCAGTAGCTGCCGTTGTTATGCAGAGGAAGTCCCTAGAATCTCCTGGATACCTTCTGTTAGGGCATTCCCTCACTATGTGCTGGATAGTCTGTTGAGGGGCCCTGCAATCACATTGTACTGAAGGTGTCTTTCCCCATTTATACAGAGAATCAGCACACACCCCATGAGTTGTTCTAATTCTATTATATGTCACCCATATGTGTTGGGGTAGGCTAAATCCTGGAGGTATACTATTAGGACTGATATGCTCGGAGACATCTTGGGGGGAACAGCTATTCCATGCCTCCATCCACTTTTGTGTGGTGTTCTGATGATCGGCCATCAACTTACGCGCTGTCAACTTACGTGCTGTACAAGCAACAAAGTTACAGTCATGCACTCATAAGTGGGAGGAGATGGGTGGTTGGAATGATGAGAAGATTAATGGTAATAGTCATGCAGATTTAATGAATAGTTTGACACAGGGGTGAAATCTACTTATCTTCCCTATCAGTTCGGAAGTGCGCGCTCCACGTCACATCCGATTTTTGACCCTCTGTGCATTCAAAAAAAATCCAATTTTTTTTACTACTGGTTCTGTGGCTGTGGCTTGGTGGGCATGGCAGGGAAAGGATATTGCAAAAACTTCATTCCCACCCCACACCAGGGGAAGGATATTGCAAAATCCCCATTCCGACCTCACTCTGGACCAGCCAGAGGTGATATTGTGTCAGTTCTCCGAACTGCTCAAACTTTCTACTACTGGTTCTCCAGAGCCTGTCAGAGCCTTCTGGATTTCACCCCTGGTCTACTCCCATCTTCACATATCCCCCCCGCTGTCCAACAATGACTAAGATGTTTTTGAGAATTGGCTCTCTGATTTAAACCAATCTACAAACTTGGACTGGATATTAAATGGGTGACTATGGGCCAATCACTTGCCAGGAAAATTGCAGAGACTATTCGATGCAGTTTCCAGGAATCAAAAATAACTGAAGTGGGGGTAGGGAATATAGCCATGTTTCATGATTTTATGTTCATTTTGTCTATGGAGATTCTCAAATCATCCAGATCATGTTTGTCCCAAAGGTGCTATTTCCAAAAGGCATCTCAACTTTGGTGTTTTTTTTTTTCTTTGAAAACTGAAGAAGCTTCTTGGATGAGAAGCGGAATGCTTTCAAAGGAAGAAAAAAACCCCCGAAGAAAGTCCAATTGCCTGTTTTGGGTTGTCTTCTGCTTGTTCTCAACCCATGAGTGAGACATGCTTAAATTGCCTTTAGCTGTAGCAGCATTACAGTACTATTCACCCCTTATTGCAATATTTTCTAAGGTAACAGTAATGTTGAAAGTATCAAAGGGGCAGAGGGAAGAGTAATTTGAGTGACAGACTTTAAAAAAAGAAGTGAGAAGGGGAAAAACAACATATGATCCATGCCATTTGCAACTTGAGCTTCAATTGTGCAACAGCTTGATTAGTTTAACAAATCTGAGTCTGAACAAAATCAGACTTTTAAAACAGTAAGTACTGCAGACATTCCAAAATTTCATAGCCAAACGCTCAGCAATAATTCAGATGCTTTATCTCCCATTTACATATTGTATTTATAAACTAGCAGGTGCAATAGAACAAAACCACTCAGTTGCTGTAATCTTCTATATTTGCCCACAAGAGAGAAATGTCTTTCTTTTGCACGACAGGTGCTTGAAAAGGCTCCATCTCACCTGCCTAATAATCTAACCAGAATGCCACAGAAAGTTGCTTGCATCATAGTAAACGCCATACCCAATATTCTAATTCATTTTGGGATAATCCAACAACTGATTATTATTTCATATATCAAAGCAGAGTTTACGTATTTCTATAAATCTTTGATGCTGTGTTTTACTGTTGCTATTATCATTATTATGTCTTGTTGCACAGTCAGCCAAATGTTTAGACTGGATTCGGCTTTTTTTGTGAACCTGTCGGGTCTTTCATCGGATCTGGGATAAGATGTTTCATGGCGTTAAAGAAATTGTCACAGGAAGATTATGATGATGATGATTTGTGGCCCGATGTTGATGCCAAGATGCCAAGATGACTAGGCTTGGCATTTTTATCTACCTTTCACGTACTTCCCAAGACATGAAATAGGGAGATGTTATTTTTTAAAATGCTTGATATAAGCTGTTACAAATAAAGTCGTGGCCATCTGCATCAGCATCCTCTACAGAAATATAATTCTGTTTTGCTGTTATTGAAGGACTTTAGTATTTAGTAGCTCTCCACTTACACATCAGTTTTCTTTCACAGAATACATTCAAAGCTGCTCTGGATGATTGAAAATAGACATATGGAGGAGAATCTTTATTATGGTCATATTCCACTTACAGAAATATTATGCCTGTTATATTCAATCATTTCCATACATAAATGATGTCTATTTACACAGAACGTCTTCACATTTATAATTTTGTATTGGATATAGTACCTCAGTTACTTTTATGCTCGGGGACAACATTATTCTAATGCAGAGTAAATAGATACAGTATGTGATAAGCAAGCATACAGGTGGTATTAAAGGACAGTTTGTAAACAAATATGACTTAGTTTAAAAATATGGTTACATAATTGATTATTGGGATTGCTCAGCAAGGAAGACCTGCTCTCGTGTTCAATTTTTCGGAGAGTTCAACCATGTTTGAAGGTCCTTCCCTGATTGGACCAAAAATTGAAGTGAGGTAGGGGATGAAAGAAGAGAGGCTCTTTTCAATAACTTACAGAAGGCCTTCTCCATTGGAAGACATTATTATCTTTCTGGATTAAATTAAGATTTTTTTCTGTTCTGTTTTTCTTCCACAGTTGCCCTAAAATAGAAGAAGAGAGGACTATTTTGTTCTGCACTTTAGGGTGACAGAAATCCACCCTAATTTTCATCCACCTTAATGACTAATGGACTAGTGGACAGTGAAAGTAATTGTGGACAGAGAAAATAATATACATAACCAATGAAATTTCTACTTAATGGAGAAAGTGATAATTGATAGTAACTGTCAGTGTCAAAATCAAGCCAAAAAATTAGGTTTCCAGAAATTAATATGGTTAGTTGCCGCTTTTGCTGAGAAATTATATCTGCTTTAAGAGCTTTCTTAGTTAATTTTAACAAGTTTATGACAGATAAAGTTTTGGTGGCTACCTAATCCCTTGAGTGTATTTCTTCATACTGGCATGACATGTCTGCTTTGGTTTCACTTGACAGAATTAAGCATGTTAGACAGTGGCTGATGTTTGCTTTACATAAATAGAACAGGCAGATCAGCATTGCTTGGTGTTAAAATTATCTTTGGGCTTGCAGGGTAGCATGCTTTGGAAAACTTAAAACACTCGTTCATGCATTTTATAAACACAGTGCTTGACCACTGAAAAGAAGCATGATAGAATCCCCTGAGGAAAACATGGGAGAAACCATTACACGGACTACAACAGCCAAGCTAATGAAAAAAGCTTTTTTGGAGGCTCTACAAGCAAATGACTACAGGACTCTGGAAGAGCTTTTGGCTCAAAAACAAATAGATGTGGACACAGTGTTTGAAGTAGAAGATGAGAATTTGCTCCTGGCCTCTTACAAACAAGGTAAAAAGCCATGGCAGTGTTTCAGCTTGTGGAATATTTGAAAGAAGTTAGCTATTGCGTGTTATGAGTATTTGACCTTTGTGGTTTTTATTGTATTCAATAACCCTTCAAATCAAATCTGATTAAACTATATGCTTGAAGCAAAATCACTTCTAGGGACATTATATATATATAGCATAGAAGAAATTGGCTGTATCCAGAAATTTTTGAAAGCCCTTAGGATACAATTTTTATAAAATGCAAAATTTTAAAATTTGAAGCTGAACAAACAAAGGAACTTTGAATAGTGGTAACACCAAGACATGAGGAAATTTTAGTCCTCGAGGATTTTTTTTTTCTGGTGCCATTCCTAAGGAATATATAGAAAAATTAAAAGTATGATTTGTAAACATTAGAAAGTATGTCAGTGACCAACAAAAGCAAATTTCTTGCTTTGGTTTGCCTGCTGCCCTCCATCTTTGGCCAAATAGTTTTGTTCCAGGTCATGTTTAAAACATTTTAGGAAGAAATGCAAGAACCAGTTTGATGTAGTGGTTAAGGCATCAGGCTAGAAACAGAGAGATTGTGAATTCCAGTCCACTGTAGGCACAAAACAAATGGATGATCTTGAGCCAGTCATTGTCATTCAGCCCTAGGAAGGAAGCAATGGCAAGCCACTTCTGAAATCTTGCCAAAAAACTACAAGAACTTGTTCAGGCAATCATCTGGAGTCAAAGGTATGCGCATGTGTACCCACACAGGTGTGTGTGTGTGTGTGTGCGCGCACACACACACACACACACACACACAGTACACAAGGAAAATCTGGCAAGAATAAAGGGCAACAACTTCACTACGATTACACAATGTGCTCTAACATGCTGCATATACCATCTGTAGCAAATGAAGTAAAAGAGATAGATATAATTGAAGGTACTCTTACAATATATTATGGAGTATTACCTTCATTCATATGAACACAAATATACAGGATTCCTAAAATACTTCTGTAGGATATGAGCTTTGGAAATTACAGGGCAAGACTACACATGCTCACTTAAGTGATATAATCACATGCTCACTTTCGTCGGGCCCTGAAAACTTATTTATTTCACCTAGCCTGGCTTGATTCCACTGTTTTGGTTAAATTGAATTGGTTTTAATTGGGTTGTTTTAAATTATGGCCAAAAATATTTAATTATTTTTAAACTGTTTTTAAATGTTGTATGTTCTGTTTTATTCTGGCTGTTCACTGTCCTGAGTCCTGCTGGAGAAGGGCAGTATACAAAATAAATAAATAAATAAATAAATAAATGATGTAATCACATGCTCACTTAATGATGTAATCACATCTCACTTAATGATGTAATCAGGAGGGAGGTGGGCTTACAATGGAGCAATTATCCACCTTCTGAGATGCTACTCAACTACCTCTCCCATACAATGCACTGAAGAAATTTTTCAAGATAAGATTTTTCTTGAAAGCATTGATCTGATTCAGTTGGATCTGGTCCATTTTTAACTCAATCTTTTTCCCCCCTGGCTTCTCCTACCATATCAACAGTGGTGGGTTGCCCCTGCTTCTGACTGGTTCTATAGAACCAGTAGTAAAACTGGTGGGAGGTTCCACCCACTGACCCTGATGTCATCAGAAGCGATCTGGGCATGCGCAGAAGCTTCTGGGCATGCACAGAAGCAAGGCGTGCGTGAGAGCAAAGCGTGTGTGCGTGTGCGATCTCGTTGCAAACTGGTAGTAAAGGTAAGTAGAACCCACCCCTGCATATCAAATATGTATTGTTCTGTTTTCAGAAAAGTATCTTGCTGATGGACAGCCAGACAGAATTCTGACATTATTTTTTTCTAGTGTTCCATTGGCTTGGAGAGAATTAACCTCCGTTTATGAGGAAAGTTCTTTTATCATAATAACAGTTCTTCTGTTGTACTATTTGCTTCAGTTGAAGTATTACTCAACAGTTAAAGAGAAAACCATGTGACACAAGTCTGCTTACAGTCATCTAAGTTTAAAGCCTGTGCTGTATAGGTAATCCTTGATTTACAACAATTCATTTAGTGACCATTCAAAGTTGCAAAGGCCCTGAAAAAAATGAATTATGAACATTTTTCACACTTAGAATTGTTGCAGCATCCTCACAGTCATGTGATCAAATTTCTTGAGGAAACACTCTTTCACTAGTCCAGAGGGAAGCACTCTGCTTTTCCCATTCCTATTCCCATCCCCAATTCTTCACTTACAACTGAGTCATATTTACTACAATTGCAGTTTCCTGGGATCATGCGATTACTTTTTGTGATCTTCTGACAGGCAAAATCAATGGGGAAGCCAGATTCACTTAACAGCCATGTAACTAATTTAACAACTGTAGTGATTCACTTAACAACTGGCAAGAAAGGTAGTAAAATGGGGCAAAGCCCATTTAACAAATGTGTCATTTAGCAAGAAAAAGTTGGCTCAGTTATGGTTGTAAATCAAGGATTACCTGTATCTTATAATTCCACTTTTAAGATACTGGATTGGAAACCAACCATTGGTCAGTCTAGTTTGTTTATATTGATTGGAAATGGAAAGCATAGTGTTATCCCAAAAGGTAGTAAATATAGTTTAACTCTTCAGCATGAAGGTGCAACACTGTGTCTTACACCACTGCCTCACTGACTAATAATCAATTTTGGTTTCTTGGTTTTTCTTCCATATATTTGAATAATTTCACTGTTGGAATATTTTCTATTTTTAAAAAAGTACTAATCACTTTTGTATTGATCAGCAATCTGAAGATTTTGGAAAGCTATCATGCAATTGCTTTTGCTTGTTTTCTCCAACTGAAACAGGATATTGGCTGCCTAGTTATAAACTGCAGCATTCCTGGGCAACAGGACTACATTTATCTGTTCTGTATGGACATCTGGAGAGTCTTTCAGTCCTGCTGAAACATAAAGCAACCATCAACTGCAGACCCAATGGGAAAGCAGCAATCCACATAGCATGTGAAGTTGCCAATCTGGATTGTATCAATATACTCTGTAGCCATGGAGCAAAAACCAACTGCTATTCATTGAGTGGGCTTGCACCCCTGCATTATTGTACTACAAAGTTATCTATGCCTTGTGCACAACAGTTAATTTGGAAAGGTAAGTTTAGTTGCATAAAAACAGTCATAGTTTGAATGTAATGGGACAGAACTGCATTATGGAGACCCAAGCAAATGTTGCATAGAAATATTAAACAAGTTCTGGTGTCTTCTTAAATTTGTTTTTAAAATATGACTATGGATTTGGATTTCAAGCAGTACAGTATGCTCCTTACCTCTGTTCCTCAAAAACACAATCCCTCCAAATTAGTTTATCAATGATCAAATTACACATTATGTTCCTTATGATGATGTAGTAGAGTTTGCTCCACTAGAAGGCAAAATGAAGTTGCTGCCTCAATTGGCATATAAAGTGAATGGGGACAGCTGTAGTAATTCACCTTCCATCCCGTTGGTAGGTAAAACTGTGAGTGTGTTATATCATTTGTCTTCAGACAATTTAGGTGAAAAAATGGCCCACTGCCAATAGTCAAACAAGCTTGACTGCTAGGCAGATGCTAATATATCTTTTAATGAAAGGAGGGCACCATTTTTTTTCTCTGTCACAAGCAGCTCAATATTATTGGCTAGCTTAGATGACTTTAATGCTGCTTAGCCTTTCTCAAAGTGTGATTTCCACATTGCTTGAACTTTACATTCCATCATTTCTAGCCTGTAAGTCTGCAAGATTGTTGTGCTGAATTCTGATAATGTTAATATTTAACTTTAGAAGATAGAAATAACCAGAGATGAATCAGGTGCTCCAAAATATTTTGCTCAAAAAAAAATTCTACATTTTTCATATTCTCTGCAGGTATGTGAAATGCAAAGCAAAAATAAAACTAAGAAAACAAAAACCATAAATAGAATGATATTGAAAGTGGAGAAATTGTCTTCACTTCTTCAGAACACCAGACCTAGTATTCACTTGTCAAATTTCAGTTACTTTGAGGGCTTTTTGAGACTTAAAGATGAAGGTTTCCCCTGTCCAGTAATGTCCAATTGTAGGGGGCATGGTCATCTCTGTTTCCTAGCCATGGAAGCCACTGTTTTCCGAAGATGCTTCTGTGGTCATGTGGTCAGCATGACTATATGACAAAAATGCACAAAACGATGTTACGTCTTTCCCACCAAAATGGTATCTACTTATCTACTTAATATTTGCAAGCTTTTGAACTGCTAGGTTAGCAGGAGCAAGAATTGAACTCACCCTGTCATGCAGTGCTTGGGTCTCGAACTGCCAACCTGGTCATTAAGCCCAGCGTCTTAACTTTTATGTCACATACTCCCTTCCTGGGACTTAGGCGACTGAAATGTTTTTTCATTTCCCCATCAAGTTTGCTTATAGATCAGTTTCCCAGACATAAACTTCTAAAAAGTAATTCTTAAAAAAATAGGAGAAAATAAATGAATAAAATGGATTTAAGCTGATTGCAGAGAATAGTAAACTGTTAGGGGAATAAAAAGAATATAATACAAAATGTATTATCTTCCCAAACCTGTGATAAGTAATAGATTAGAAGCAAAAAATACCTGTCATGGTATCATGAGAATGTATGATCTTGAATCCAAGTTTGTTTAGTGGATGGATTACTAGATCAAAATGGAATATATTTAAAAGCAGTCATGTATATATTAACACATATTTTCCTTCTGATAGATGCTGCTTACTGAGTTGGCTAGAGGACAAATTAATGACATCATTTTTACTTTTCATGAAGTTAATGAAGTTCTTCTCTTGTCCTGCTATTATCAATAATCAGAAAAAAAATCCAAGCGATCTGTTTTCCATATGACGAATACTTTGTCGGCCAAATGTATTTATGCTATTATTATTACTTTAGACTGTATCTGTGAAGAATCCTGAAAATATAGAATGTAGACAAACTTTTAGTTAGGCCATCTGATCAAGTAAAAGAAATTGTAGATGATTAATCCTATCATATTAGTTGGATTGATTTATCAATTTATATGTGCAGTTTAGCACTTATTTGTTTAGCACACAATTTTGGAATCACCCTACTGTAGGATCTTTCATTTTGTTTAGATGCAGCCCAGTGGTGGGTTGCTACTGGTTCGGCTGATCAGGCAAACTGGTAGTGGCGGCATGGGAGGCTCTGCCCACCCACCCAGACGTCTCTGCACATGTGCAGAAGTGTTGCATATGCAGGCAAGCGCGCACGCACTCACAAGCAAACCAATAGCGATGGGATTTGAATCCCACTACTGATGTAGCCCAATTTTATTTATTTATTTTTTATTTATTTGTCAAGAACCTATTAGGTAATAAGTACAAACATGGATTGGATACATAAAATAGATACAAATAGAGGGAACATTAGGACAGGGAGAGTAGGCATGTTGGTGCTCTTATGCATGCCCCTTACAGACCTCTTAGGAATGGGGTGATGTCAACAGTAGACAGTCTTAGGTTAAAATTTTGTGGGTTTTAGGATGAAACCACAGAGTCAGGTAGCGTATTCCAGGCATTGACCACTCTAGCATATTCCAGGCATTGACCACTCTATTGCTGAAGTCATATTTTCTGCAATCAAGTTTGGGGCAATCACTTTAAGTTTGTATCTATTGTGTGCTCATGTATTGTTGTGGCTGAAGCTGAAGTAGTCATTGACAGATAGGACATTGTAGCAGATGATTTATGAGCTATGCTTAGGTCATACCGAAGGTGGCATAGTTCTCTTTCATTCTAAGTTATTCTGCTCAGTAAAGAAACATAGATTTGAGTGGGCATTTTGAATGGGCAGAGGATTATTTTTTCCCCTCTGTGGAATTAATTGTTCAGTCATGCAATTTGCTTTGTTTATGGGCATGTGATGGTAAAGTGAACTATAGTTTATTCCCTGTAGTTTTGGGTCTTTCAAGCCTGGAGCTGCCCTGGATCATGTTCTAGATTGGTTTAGAAAAGAATTAAAGCAGTATAACAAGTTTTAATCTCAGGGATGCTTTAGGTTTTTTCCACCATAGGTGCTGTTTTCCCAGGCAAGTACATTAAGTTAAGAAATAACAGAAAATTAGAAAGTGAACAATATATGCCATTTTAGGAAGAGATGAATTCATAGGAATCTTTCAATCCTTCTTTCTTACTTTCAGTACCCAAAATCCCTTTTAATTTTGCCACCTGTTTAAACAACCAGCATACCAACTCAAAGCTGCAAAATACTGGAAAGCAACAAAAAGTTTGGCTTTTCTGTATCTCTTATTTTTCTTTTCTTTTCTGTGCCTTCATATCAGTATTCATTCCTGGTGAGCTTTTCTTGGGTTTTTTTTTAGAAGTGGCTTGCCATTGTTTTCTTCTTAAGACGAACAAAGAGTAACTGGTTTCACTCAAGGTCACCCAGCTGGCTTTGCCTCTATATCAGAATTACAGCTCATGGCCTCCTGATTTTTACCATTATACCAAACTAGCTATAGTGCTCATTTGGATTTTTTCATACCAAATCCAATGGTAATCCTAAACAAAGGTGATAACAATGGAGCTTTCGCAAAGTTTACGTGGGAAATAATCCACTCTGGGTTCCCCAGGCCTATTGGCAAAACCAGGTTTTAAGGGCCTTGCAAAAAAGTATTAATGTGGGAGCCAACCTAATCTCTGCAGGTATGATGTTCTAAAGAGAGGGAGACACCATGGAGAAGGTCTTTCTTCTGGGTCCTGCCAGATGTATCTTCTTAGATGAAAGGATCCACAACATTCTTTGCCTCCATACTCTCGTGGGTTGGGTAGATGTGATCAGGAAAACACAATCCTTCAAATAAACTGGTTCCAAGCCATGCAGGGTTTTAAAGGTGACAACCAGTACCAAATTGAACATGGATGCAAATCAGCAGCCAGTGCAGGTCCTGAGCAGATATTACACCTATGCACATCCAGGTCTGCACAAAAATCTGTAGATCACAGCATTTTAAACTAGTTGGAGCTTCCGGATACTTTTCGAGACCAGCCCCATGTAGAGTGCATTGCAATAGTCAAGTCAGAAAATGATTAGGGTGTGAACGGTTGTGAGCAAGAAAGAGCATAACTAGTGCACAATCTGCAATTGCGCAAAAGCCCTTCTGGCCATGACTGCCACCTGCTCCTTAAACTGGAGTTGTGAGTCCAGGAGAACCCACAAATTGATGGGTGCTCTGTGAGCTAGATTGTTTTCTCACAGACATTTCATTATCAAAACTGTAGTACAGTGGACTAAAGCACTGTTATTAACATCTGCTGCTTGCAATTATTGCAAGTTCAAATCTCACCAGGCTCAAGGCTGACTCAGCCTTCCATCCTTTCAAAGGTAGGTAAAATGAGGACCCAGATTTTGGGGGCAATAAGCTGACTTTGTATAAATATACAAAAGTATGAAGGCTATTGCTTAACGCACTGTAAACCGCCCTGAGTCTCCGGAGAAGGGCGGCATATAAATTAAAGCAAAAAAACCAACAACAACTAGATAACATCATCAGAGCACTTATCTAGTTTGGGTAATGAAACATTTGTGAGAAAACAACCAAGTTTAGAGAGCACCAAAGATCCCTTATTTCAACCCTGAGTCACAAATAGTATTCTTTATTGGAATCCCCAGGTTACACACTGGGCTTGTCTGGAGCAGTGCCATCCTAGCCAAGGCTAGAGATGGCAATTCTCCATGACCAAACCTCAAACTCAGAGATATTCTGTCTTTCCAGGATACAGTTTCAGTCTGTCATTCCTGATCCAGCCCTTACTAGCTTCCAATCACTGTGAAAAGAGGTCAGGGCATTGCTTAACATTATCCATTTCTTTCAGTTTACTTGTTTGTTTGCTATACAAACAAAGCTACCACTTTTAAAAATATTCAGAAATGTTAGCTAACTCAAATATTGTAAGAGGATAGTTAGCTAGTAGCTAGAAGACAAAAATCTATCATGTCAGTGGTTTTGCATTGCATTGTCAATCTATTCATTTCTAAATCCAAACCAAGCTTCAATTAAGTTTGAAGGTTCTGAATGTCCATATTCCCTAAGACAATTCATCTTCCCAAACCCATATATAATTAGATAATACCATATTCAGAGGCATTTCCCTAAATCTTCTTATTAAAAGTAGCGACTTTTTGAATAAAAAACTATTTGATTTTTTAAAAACCAAATAATTATACTCTTTAAGAGTTTTCAGCATCTCTGAGATTTTCCTGATATTTTTATATATTTCTGATGATTTATTGTAGCGAATCAACACTGTGCCATCCCATCCCATCCCATTCCCCCCCTTTCCTTTGTGATTTATATTCAAACAGGTGCAGATGTAAATATAAGATCAAACAATCAAGATGAAGAAACACCCCTTCATACAGTTGCTCGTAATGGCATTCCTGAAATGGTTGCCTTCTACGTGGAACAAGGAGCTGTAGTTGATGGTGCAAATGCCCACCGAGAAACACCATTGTCCTGTGCGGTTTACTGGGCCCTTAATGGCAAGGAACAAACCTACAGCACAGATCACCATCTCATCTGCCGGATGCTCCTTGACTACAAGGCTGATGTTAATTCACGGGATGAAGATTTCAGGACACCCCTCCACAAGGCAGCCTGGAATTGTGATCATGTACTACTAAACATGTTGCTTGAGGCAGGTGCTGAGGCCAACCTGATGGATGATAATGGGTGTGCCCCTCTGCAATATGTCCTGAAAGTGACAGACGTACGCCCTAGTGCTCAGCCTGAAATCTGTTATCAGCTGCTTCTGAATCACGGAGCTGCCAGGATATATCCACCACAATTCCATAAGGTGAAAAGGGAAAGATGGTGCATAGTTAATATATAGAATAGGGGTGGGGTATGATGGCCCTTTTATGACTTTTGGACTTCAACTCCTAGAATTCCTGAGGCAGCATGACTGGCTCAAGAATTCTGGGGGTTGATGTCCACAAGTCATAAAGGGGCCATCCTTCCCCCACCTCTGTACAGGATAGGATGCAGGTTTATCTTTTAAAACATGGTCCAATTCAGTTTAAATAACTGATTTCAGAGCCACAGAATCCTAGAGATATTGTCTTGGTTTGGAATATACTATTGCAAATTCTTATCAGATGTCTGTCATGTGGCTCCTCTGAAGTCAGGTCAGAGATCAATAGTTGTTGTTTTTAAATCAGAATGCAGGCCAGGCACTGTGGCAGGAAAAAAAAAATCTTAGAATGGCTAACTTTGTCAGAAATGTCTTTTTTTCTCTTAAACATGTATCCTGGAAAACAAACACACATGGGCTAAATAAGTGACTTTAACCTATTTTATTATAGAATGAGAATTTTTACCTATTTTATTATAGAATGAGAATTCTATAATATAGCCATAATGGCTTCATTACATTTAAAAACTTAACAAAGAAATACAGCAGTGACACATCTTTTGTTATATTCCATTGCTATCTTTCTAAAGTTTTCTACAAACAATGCATATGTGGATTATAGATAGATGGATTTTCTATATGCAAGAAATGCATGGCACTTATAAGAGAAAACTGGTCTGAGTTAAAGGAAGCTTAGCAGCAACCTGAATCTTTCCTAACCCAGTTCAACATCTTAAGTGAAGTATGAGTCAGAATAGCACAAAGTGAAAGGATCAAAAGAGTCTATCCTTTTCTGACAATTTTCCAAAATTTGAATATTACTCATGGCTACTCTATATGTATAAGTGTACCCAAATCTACACTTTGCAAACAGAAGTGTGAAGTAAAGTGTAGGTGCCATACCATAGCTGCTTTTGGGGGCCCTTGCCACAAGTCTTTTCTCAGTAACTGTGAGGAACAGAAGCTGCAATATGAAATTAAAGAGCAGTTGCAAAATTCCTGTGTGCTAAATTTTCCACTAGGTGTAGAATCCATGATTCTATATAATACAGGTACTTCTGTATTCTACTCCTGTTGCAAGTTCACTAAATGAACTTGCAACAGTTCATTTAGTGACCATTCGAAGTTATAACGGCCCTGAAAAAAAGTGATTTATGACCATTTTTCTCACTTATGACTGTTGCAGCATCGCCATGGCCACATAATTAAAATTCAGATGCTTGGCAACTGAATCATATTTATCACATTTGTAGTGCCTTGGGGTCATGTGATCAACTTCTGCAACCTTCAGACAAGCAAAGTCAATGGAGAAAGCAGATTCACTTAACAACCGTATTACTAATTTAACAATTGCAGCGATTCCCTTAAAAACTGTAACAAGAAAGATTGTAAAATGGGCAAAATTCACTTAACAAATGTTTCGCTTAGCAACAGAAATTTTGGGCTCAATTGTGGTCGTAATCCGAAGACTACCTGTACGTAGAGACATAACATCAATGACAGGCTTCCTAGAGAAAGATATTTTGCTACAGGAACTGGAAAACACTAGTATCCTTAAATTTTCCCCAGTAAAAGTGCTGAAATGAATATAACTATTATTTAAGGTTGGAATAGCCCTAGTTGACATTTTTAAAAGATTACATTTGGCACAGGATGGCAGACAGAAGGCTGTGATGATAGCCATGACCATGTAATCTACTCACTACTTTTCAGTGCAGATTGAAAGGTTCAGTTACAAGATCATGGTGACCATCTCGGCTTTTTTTACCTCATATTTATAGATGCTCCTGAAGGCCACAAAATGGCTTTTGGGAGAACAGTGACATCTATTGGGTAGTGATATGTTTCTGCTTATAGGTGCTGCAAGCTTGTTGTTCCTATCCCAAAGCAGTTGAAGTTATTGTGAATACATATGAACATATCAGGTGCACAACGAAATGGAGAACAGCTATACCTGATGATCTCTTTGAGGTAAGTAGTTTAAAAAATACACAACTATATTAAGAGCAGTGAAGTCATTCATTGCATTAGGCCATAATGTTTGATTGTTTTTTTAATTTTACCTTAGCATGATGTGTAAACCTAGCCAGAGTGATTCAGAATCCATGCTTTTAGCTTTGAACCTGAGATAAGTAAACCTGATCATTAAAGAAAATACAATTGTTAGTGTCTTTGTTAAAGGGAATATTTTGCAGAAGACAAATATTGGCAACCTAAAATAAAAGTTCTATACAATATTTATTTTTTAAAAAAACCTCTAGCTTCCCTCTAGGAACTCAAAGCAATATACATAGTACTCAGTGGTGAAATCCAAATTTTTTTATTATCAGTTCTGTGGGCATGGCTTGGTAGGTGTGGCAGGGGAAGGATATTGCAAAATCTCTATTCCCACCCCACTCTGGGACCAGCCAGAGGTGATATTTGCCGGTTATCTGAACTGCTCAAAACTTCCACTACCAGTTCTCCAGAACCTATCAGAACCTGCTGGATTTCACCCCTGAGAGTATTCTCTCCTATAATTTGATCCTGGCCAAATTAATCTGTCAACTATACAGGCACACAAAATATTGTTGATTTAAAACCACCTAGTTTTTTTCCTAGGGTCCAGGGAAATTAGATATGTGAAAGCAAACTTATTCAGCCCATCTTCCACCATCCTTGTCTCCCTTTTTGAGTAGCCATTTTGAAAATTCTTCCTCCTTTCATCCAGTCAATATTAAAAAAATAAATAAAAGGCCAAACAAAAGTTTAATGAAAACTGCCAGGCACTTGAAAAAATAAAAGACAAAGGTTTAGCCAAAAGAGAATGGGGGAGGGGGTAGTGGTGCTATCACTATTAAATTCACAGATGTCTTCAGTTGTATCTAAAGCTATATTTGTTCTTGGGCAGATTCTATTTTGCTGAATTGGGAGGCATCACATTCAATGAGAAGTAGATTATATATTTAAATAGAGATATAGAGAGTCTAGAAAGTAAAAATGTTTGGCTCGAGCAAAATTGCTTACAGTTACTGAAATGTAGCTGCAATAGATAATGGCAAAGCCTAGCACATTTTCTTCCTAGCTTTTGTGCATGGAAGAAAGATATTAACTTCAAACATATTTTGTTTTGTCTTTGCAGACATACAGAAGTTTCTACGAATCCCTTTTTGAAGCATGTGCAAATATACCACGATCACTAAAACATTTAGCCAGATGTGCTATTCGAAGAATATTGCTCCATAAATGTCACAAAGGAATCCCTTTACTTTTAATTCCATCAATATTAAAAAGGTATTTACTTTTAGAGCCAGAAGGAATAATATATTAAGATGTGTAAGAGACATTTTCAGATAATTTAATTTAAAAGTGTTTGGATTCTATTCCCATGGGAGAAGTTAAAATCAAGATTTCTGTGACAGCACCAGCAAAAAGCAGAACTAATATTTTCTACAAAGAATATGAATTCATACATACATACATACATACACACATACATCATTATTGAACTTTGAGCACATGTAAGAGAATATTTCAATCCTAGCAGTTTACAGAAGCACAACAAATGAAAAGAAAGAACTAAGAAAATACTTCTAAGGAAAGAGAAAAAAAATGTCCAACATGTGGGAAATGTTCTAAAGAGAACTATTAGTTTTCTCCACTTGATAGCTTCTAATGTTCCATATTACCATGACTATAGTGCACTAGAGTTATAGGCCTTGTAGTCCAAAATGCTGAGGCAACAGTCATGCAAGACTATTGTTACGAATGAAGGCGAATATATGTGTCCCAAGATAATGTTGCAGGATCTAATCTGGGTTGATCACCAGGACTAGAGGTTTTGTCTTCTGAGCTTTCGGACTCATGCTGGAACCCATCTTCAGGGAACTTCTCTCTAGCTCCAACAAGAGTCCGAAAGCCCAGAAGACAAAACCTGTGGTTCTGGTGACTGACCCAGAGTGGATCCTGCAAGACTATTGTGAACGTTAATCCTTTCATTTTGAGACATCTTCCTTCATAAAATAAGTAAGAAGTGCTAAGAAAGCAAAATTATTAAATAGTACATATAATCTTTTTTCCTTTTTATTATATTGTTGTGAGGTTTAATATATTTAATTTTGATACAATGGTATTTATACAATACTAATTAAAAATTATTGACATTTTATTGTTTGAATAACTTAAGATATTACAAATAAAAATAAAGATTCTATCAATATTAGTTATAATTTGGGCTATCAATATTATAAACATAAAATATTTGACTTTTTCATCCAAAATGAAGTGTAATACTAAGAAAGACTGCAGAATGCATTGAATGATATGTTATACAATAAAGGTTTCATTCTTGAGCTGATTACTTACTCAATGGAAATCAGGACATTATCAATGAGATAGGTAGCAAATAAATGTAACAAATAAATTTAGCAAGTAAATAAATAAGAGAAGGATCCCTAACTATATTTGACATTGGACATATTTGGAATTTGGGTACAGATCAAAATGGCTGCTGTGATGGATAAATGAAGTTTAACATTAAGAAAAATAAAGTCATAGTCTTAGGCAAGAAAAACCAAAGTACACATATGGACTAGGTGAAACCAGGCTTAATAGCAGTAAATGTGAGAGGGATCTTGGAGTCCTAGTGGACAATCAATTAAATATGAGTCAGCAGTGTGCGGGGGCAGTCAAAAAAGCCAATGCAATTCTAAATTGCATTAATAGAGGGGATGAATCAAGCTCATGTGAGGTACTAATACCAGTCTATAAAGCCTTAGTAAGACCACATCTAAAATACTGCATCCAGTTTTGGTCAGCACACTATAAAAAAGACGTTAAGACTCTAGAAAGAGTGCACAGAAGAGCAACAAAGATGATTAGGGAGCAGGAGGCTAAAACATATGAAGAAGAGCTGCAAGAACTGGGTATGGCTAGTCTAGTGAAGAGAACGACTCAGGAGTGACATGATAGCAGTGTTCCAATATTTCAGGGTCTTTCACAGAGATGAGGGGGTCAACTTATTTTCCAAACCACCCAAAGGCCAGACAATGAACAATGAATGGAAACTTATCAACTTAGAAATAAGGAGACATTTTCTGACAGTGAGAACAATCAACCAATGGAAGAGTTTGCTTTCAGAAGTTGTGGGTGCTTCACAGGGATGAAATCCAGCAGGTTCTAACAGATTCTGGAGAACCAGTAGAGAAAATTTTGAGTAGTTCAGAAAACCAGCAAATACCACCTCTGGCTGGCCCCAGATTGGGGAGGAAAAGGAGATTTTGCAGTATCATTCCCCTGGAGTGGGGTAGAAATGGAGATTTTGCAATATCCTTCCCCTGTGCCATGCCCACCAAGCCACGCCCACAGAATCGGTTGGGAAAAATTTTGGATTTCACCCTGATGCTTCATCACTGGAAACTTTCAAGAAGAGACCAGAAAGCCACTTATCAGAAATGGTGTAGCGGCTTCCGGTTTGATTTCCGTCGCCACCAGACGGTCCTTTGAGACCGCCAGCCCCGTCGCTCGTAAAGAGCCGCCTTTACATCTGAAAGGTGGCTCGAAAAACTCTATTTCCATAAGGAAATGTGAGATAGAGCAGGTGAGGGCAGGTAGAGCTCTCTGCAAAGTCCCCAGAGTTTTTCCTTTACTCTTGGGGACGAAGCAGGATGAGGCTCCCTATTTCCCTCGCCGCTGCTCCGGGCTTCGGGAGACCTCTGCTTCTTGCAGAGCCAGGCGACGAGATCAAGCCTTTCAATGAAAACAACAGATTGCTTAATTAAAGAGGATGAGATCTGGACTTGGGACCCTAAACTGCAAGTATTTTTAATAATTTTATAAGCGTTTTTAAGCGAAGGAAAAAAAAAAGCTTAAAATGGCGACTGCTGAGGCTTGAGAAGTAGCCGAAAGTGAAAGTCCTTCCGTAACAAGATACAAAGTAACGGAGCAAACAGTGCTGGCTAGAATAGAGAAAAGAAAAAATTTCTATTCTAAGTTTCTTTTTTTTTTTTTTTTGAGATCTGAGATTGATCTTGTTGGAGAAAAGTCCTCTTTCTTCAAAAAGAGTTTGTCTGTGTGGCAGGATGGCGTTAAAATTAACAAAGCCAGACAAACAAGCAGCGGGGGGAGGGGTTTCCCCCATTTACAATTGTGTGAGCAAGTTTCTAGTTTACAGACTCAGAAGGATGGTTTTAATTTAAAAGAATTTGTTTTGAAGGAATTGGCAAGACATGACGAGATTGTGAACCAGAATTTTGAAAAATTTAAGCAGGAAATTAAAGAATTCATACAATTAAAGTATGATAACTTACAAAGAAAGATTGTAACAGTGACTAATGCTTTTTCAGAAATAGTTATAAAGATGGATACAAATATCAAGTTATTAGAGTCTAAAATGGAGGAAGTTGATGATAAGATTTATAATTTGAACAATAAAATACAAAGAATGGGAAATGATTTGATAAATATTCAAGACAATAGTTCTGAAGTAAAGTCCAAAAAGGAAGCTGATCACGAGATTTACAATACAGAAAATATAAAACAAGGGATTGAAAGAGAAGTTACAATGATGCAATACAGGCTCACAGAATTTGCGGTCAGAATGAGAGGATTACAGGAAAACAATAGAGATGATTTAAGAAAAATATCTGCTGAAGTTCTGGCTGGGATTTTAAAGATTCATCCAGAGGAGGTATCTTGTAAGATCGACAAGGCCTATAGAGTAAATTCCTGGATTGCAAAGCAAAGGCAATTGCCCAGAGATGTGGTGATTTATTTTACAGATAAAGAAATAAGAAATGATATTGTGCAAAAATCTTTTAATTCTACTCTACAATTGTATGGAAGAAAGATCTGGATATATAAAGAGTTGCCGCCCAAGATATTAAAAGATAGAAAGAAATTCGGATTTTTGGTGACTGAGCTAAACAAACAAAACATCTCATTCAGGTGGGATGTCCCAGTTGGCATAATATTGAGATATCAAGGAAAAAGATATCAACTAAATTCTGTTGAAAAAGCGGAAGAATTTTACTCTAAGGTTCTTAAAATGGGTTCAACATCTTCATGTATAATACAAGAGTGGAATAAAGAAAAGCAAAATCAACAAGAGATAGAAATTCAGGATAAGCAGAAAGAGATGGAAGTAATGGAAAAACAACAAGTTACAGAGGACTTTGTAGATGAGCAGCTTCTGGATTCTCCTTCAGAGGTTACAGCTGGACTATTTATAAATATAAGAGAGGCGGCTTTGGATTCTAATGTGATGATTCATCAAGTTACAGACCAACATAGAAATCAATCAGTTGACATACAACTCAAAGAAAAGAAACCAGAATGGAGACTTAAGCCACAAAAGCAAAACCAACAAGATCAAGTTATAGATCAGCATGAAAACCAAATAGTTGATACACAATTTATAGAAAGGAAATTGGGATGGAGATCTAACCCACAAAAAGTCAAGAAAAGAAGAAGCAGGTCTTACAAAAACAAAATTTTTTAAACTAAACAACAGTGCAATGCCAGTTATCTAAGAGATGATTGAATATATGACAAGATAGCTGAGGCAAAGTATTGATTTATATTATCCTGAGGACAGTGACAGACCTCTGCAGTGCTGTACTTTTGGGATGTGAAAAGGGCCTTAAACTGAATGGATTGGAATTATCTATTTTGGATTCTTTGATAAATGTATTACGTTTATGTTGAGCTCCAAGGCAAGAGAGTTATGGGATTGGGGCACGCAGAAGATCTGGTTGTTACCCTATTACGGTGTTGGAATTAATAATTTAGATGAAAGACACTACTATAGACACTATATGGAATACAAATATAAAGTCACTCGGGTGGTTGTTTTTTATATATCAAGTCATCTATTGTTGATGGGGGCAGATGGTAATTGACGATACCGACCATACTGTTGGAATTAGGATGTGATGTTACCCTAATATGGGTGATGGAGTTAACAATCCAGCTGAAAGACACTACAGAAGATATTATATGGATTACAAGCTTAAAGTCATTTGAGGATTTTATTTATATAAGGAATACTTCTTAGTGGTGTGGTCAAAAGAATAAAGAGATCAAGAATTATTATGTATGGTAGTTCTGTGGGAATGTGGGTGGAGATAGGTTAGCTTATTGATTGTTTAGTTGAAGAAAAGGGATATTATGTTCAGATATGAATATATGTAAAAGATTTGAGTTAAGAGATATATCTATGGGGGTGGAGGAAATGGGCAGACTATGAGTTGAATAAATGTTAAATTAGGATTTATTATATAGTTTTATAGTGGAAGGTTGCTTTGAAATGTTATATTAATATACAAAAAAAAAAAGATTTGATTTAAGAGATATATGTATGGGGGAGGAGTAAAAGAGTAGATCATGAGTAGAAATTGTTAAATTGGGGGATATAATAATATTACTATGCTAAATTAGGAGTTATTATATAATGTTATAGTAGAATGTTATTCTGAAATGTATAGTATAAGGGGGATATAATAACATCATTAGAAAGAAAGGGTCAGTATATGGGGGATGGAGCAAGGGGATGGTAAAGTATTATATAATCTGTTATGAATTTGAGTTGTACCCTGAAGAAGCCACGGGGGGAGGGGAGGGCGAGGGGGGGTTAGGGAGGAGGGGGGGAAAAAAGGGGGAAAAATTTGTATTTGAAAAACTTTTTCAATAAGAAATGGTGTAGCATCTCCCGCTTGAACAAGGGGTTGGACTAAATGACCTACAGGGTCCCTTCCAACTCTGTTACTCCGTATTAAATCTATATTAACCCCAAAATACCTTTTTAATCAAAAGGTACACTGGTGAAGTTGTGAAACCATTTTCCATTTCAGCATGTTCTCTAGAAACTCAGTTTTTGCCTTTATTGTGGCCAGAAAATATTGTACCTTACAAAGTAATTTGCTAGGTTGGCACATCTCACAAAACAGTGAGGTTAATTTGATTTTGATTTAAGAGGGTAGGTAAACTACCTATTATGTTTTAGGATTATGTGCAAATCAGAACATTATCGTCTATTCCCAGAGCTTTATTTTTGTGAAACTGGTAGCCATACAAATATGATGCATAAATAAAAATATATTTTAAAAACTAAATAATGATGTAAAGAATCTTTGTTTATCTTGTGTGATTATAGTCATATTCTGTGATTTGTTGCTGTTGCTAGCAGTCTTAAAATAAAAGGGAAAAGGCACATAAAAAAGTTTATTTTCAACTTTTTCTGGCTTCTGCCAGACAGATTATCACCTCTCCCCCACATGCTGACTGTAGTCCAGTACACCTGGAGGACACTTGCTGCGCATAGTTGCATTATCAACACAAATTAAGGGCTGTTGCT